TTGCCACGGCAATGATTGCTGTCGCGCATTGTCGCGGCAGTTGTTGGTGACGCGCAAGCTACAGGGAGCTGCTGCGGCAGTTACAAAACAGTTATACGATGATTTTTTCAAAGTCCACATGGCGGCATATCAGAAAGAGAATATGTGCTGACATGTACAAACAGTTAAACCATGAAAAAAGTGGTTAAAAGTCGTGGGAGGACGGTTTCAAACATGATGGAACGTGGCTGGAACTGTCTCTTTGGCCGTGCCAGTCTACACTGATGCGCCAATAGCCGCGGCAGCATAGACTAACGCGCCCAAAGAGTCTATACTCGATCAGTTATTTTATCTCCATTTCCACTGTTGTGCACCTCTATCCCTATAAATACCTCCCTAGACACGAAGCAAAGGACAGAGAGCAGATTAGAGCAAAGGAGCTTAAGCTTTTTGTTGAATTGGAGAGAGTCTTCTTCCTCAGAACTGGTTCTAGTGATTCCTAGAGATCCAAGCTCTGACTTGATCTTTGGAAGAGTGAACATCTTACATCGATAAGATATTCGCTTTAGATTCTTATTTCGATAAACAAAGAAAGAATCCCCAAATCCCTTCACAATCTGTGAATTGGTGGTCCACGAGCCAAAGCACTCCCGGCACAGGCAAAGTCCCACAAAACAGGAGTCGATAAACGATTTCTGTGTTATTTTCCAAGAAAGTTGTAATTTGTTTATTTTTCATTGTAATTCACTGTAAACGATTTAAGTTTTAATGGAATCGATAATGAAAACGACTTTCGACAAAAACAAACTGGTGACCACAGTGGGAGCCAACGTCTCGCTGCCGAGGCCGTAGTGTCACAGCCGATCAAGATTGTGATCAATGAAGAGATCGAATACGAGTTCGATCAAGCGAAGTTCGAGGAGTATCTGTCGTCCTCATCCTCAAAATCTTCCTCACCTCGTAAGTGCAGGAAGATTTCGTATTCCAGAAAGGTTACCCAGTCTTCAACTTCGTTGAAAGCCACATGTGAAGACTCTTGCCCAGTTATTGCTAAGGATTCTACTTGCAACATATCTGCTCCAAATGACCCTTCACCAGTTCAAGGGTCTTTGAACCAAAATTCGCCGGCACTGACGAAGAGGGCTCGTCAGAGACAACGTCAACGCCGTGCTTGTCAATTGGCCAATGCCTTACAACAAACTGACGGAGTCCATTACTATAAATACTTAGAGTCGAGGAAGCATAAAATGAACCAGTTGCCCCAACGGCATAACACTCACATCTCTGCACAACTTACGACGGAGGAATGGACCCTCGTCAAAAGAGCACGTTCAACCCTCAAAGAACGCATACAAAAGCGTCGTATAAACGCCGCTCGTAATCGTGCCATTCGTCGGCAAAAGCAAGAAGGGAAGAAAGAAATGGTGTCTGAAAAATCACCAAAGAACTGCAAGGTTTGGATGCCCAAAATCAAAAATACTTGGGAGTTGAATCAGGGAAATTCCTCATTCAACTGCGACAGTCCATACTACCGCGACAAGACTTTTGACCGCGGCAGTCACAACCGTCACGGCACTTATTCCAACCACGGTAGTCTCCGCTGCCGCGACACGTCATCCAACCGCATCACCACACCCTGTCGCGGCCAAGAAGAGGTCTACAAGACCATCTCTTCGATTCCATCGACGTCCGATCCTAGCCCGTCTACTACAATTGTGCATATTCCATCACCAGTGAAGCCCTGGGTCAGTCCTGACTTATCGAAATTCAAAATCACAATGGCGGATCGTCTCGGTCCTTTACCTGGTGAGCGAAGCAAAACTCCAATCAAGGGACACTCAGATCTGACGAATAAACCCTTGATAGTTTCTTACGCTGGGGGTCGTAAATATCCTCCTGTCAGAACAAAACAAGCGCAAGAAGGGAAGATATCAATTCATTCCCGTCTAGGGCATGTAAATAATTTATCCCCACAGAAGGATGAATTTAAATACACAACCTTGGATCGCCCAGAGGTGACGACCAGTCGTCCTGTGCATGTCAACAAGGTTCAAAAACAAAAGATAGGTTGCCCGAATCATAATAATGATGAGTTGTACTATCAAACTAATAAGTCGCGAAAGAGGGTTGCTCAAAGAACAGAGTCTCATTGCGCGTACGAAAGGCTCATTAAAGCTGTATTGATAGAATGCGATTGCTCCAAAGCTGAACCACCAAGAGTTTCCGTGTTTCAGAGACTTTCCACTGAAACGTCAAAACCCAAGATGAGACGTTTCAAGAAAAAGAAATCCACTGTGCAAGAAAATGAACTTCCGAAGGTCACTATTAATATGACCAGCAGAGGAAAGCAGAATGTAATCAACCCGGATCCTGATTTCTCTCCAGGAGGGAGAGTTGAGCAGGGTCTTTCTCAAAGGATGTCACGGCTACAACGAAGGGCCAACCGACGTCGGGACTACAAAAAAATGCATGAAGGTCTATCTTCGAACGAGAAACTTTCAGATACCTGTTCTGCGGTCGCCTCGGATGATACAGCATCCAGTGTTAGACGAGTCAGAGAATCATTTGTAATTACACCTGATCAGTTAGCTCAGATACTGCAGGAGGTGTTAGCTAAACAACGCGAAGAAATTAGAGCTGAAATCAAAACCGAAATGGAGTTGACAATGCAGCAGATGCGGGATTTGCAGGCTCAACAACACCAACCGGAGTCGAGTCAAAAGGCTGAATCTAGCCAGCATAATGCTATACCTGTACGTATAACTGAGGTCACTAATGACCAGGACGAGGATGAAACCATCTTCGCTGATCCTCTTTCTAATAAAGACAATTCGAGAAGTGGCCCGACTAAGTTATCCACTCAACCTCATCAAATCTATTTAAAGAAAAACGAGGAAGAGGACAAGAAGATGCAAGATCTTGAAAGAAAAGTCAATACTCTGATGACAGCCCAGGAAGTAAAGAAAACGGGCATTCCATATCCTTACCCAAGGGAGTGGGATCTGATTCCTTATCCCCCAAAATTTAGTTTGATTAACTTTACTCCTTTTGATGGCAGGGGCTCACCTACACAACATTTAATCTATTTCAAATCTAACCTTGGTGCGATCTCAGGGAATGAAGCTTGGATGGTACGGTCATTCATCAGGACTCTTCGTGGCCCCGCTTTTGATTGGTATCGCCGTCTTAAGCCGGAGAGTATAACCAACTGGGATGATATGGAAGGATTATTCCTAACCAATTTCTTCGATGACGATACAGA